TGGCCTCTGATGTACCGATGGGAGGTTACAGAGACCAGGTGGGCTGTGGAGGGGCGGACGAGATGGCAGGACGAGATGGCTGGATTCGGAGAGTTCGCCGTAGTGGATGAGGGAGCAAGGACCCGACCCCCAGGCCCTTAGTCCCGAATCAGCGGCTGGCGGTGTTTCCCGCAGCACAGCCTGCCAAGCCGGGCCTTGTCCAGCAGAGGGGGCCCAGATGCCTTGGACCCAGCACGGCAGTCGCCCCCCTGCACAGCTAGGCTCTGCCGCCCAGTGGAAGGTGAAGGGAGGGCGGGGAGGCCAGGCCCACACACCTCACTTGGGATTTGGGTGGGGGTTGCAGCCTGCCGGGTGGACTGGCCGTAAGCCTGGCGCCATGCCCCCTCCAGCCTGGGGAAGCCGCGCCTGGCTAAGTGTGACCCTGAGCATCGGGGCCACAGGCCGCAGTGTGAAGGGCCTTCAAGACCAGGCCACTGAGTGGGGCTGAGAGCTAGGTGCCAGCCCACCCTTGACCCCTAGAGGCTGGACCCCTAGAGGAAGCCGCCCACCTCAGCAGTGCCCACTGCAGTGGGGGCCAGTGAGGGGCGCGGCCTCGGCCCGGACCCTGTCCCTTGAAGCGTGCAAACCCCGCAGGGCGGACACGTCTCAGTAGAGCTAAAAGGACCCACCCCACCCTCACAAGCACCCATATGGGCTGGGGCTTGTGACAGGAGGCAGAGCAGTTAGCCGCTGCTGACCGAGGAGCAGGGACAGTGAGCTCCCAAAAGTGTCTTCTGACGAGAGGAAGCAGTGCTGAGGCCCCCTCACCCTGCGGGCCGGCCCCCAGCCCTCCTTTTCCCCAGGCCCCTGCCCTCCGCAGGGCTGCCCTGAGCCCCTGGCCCGTTACCCGGAAGCCTCACCCAGCAAGTGCGCCCCAAGGGGGGCAAATGGGCCCGAGCAGCCTGCCTCAGCTTCCCATGAGGAAACGCCCTGGGAGGCAGAGGGGTGGCCGGGTGGCCAGCGGTGGGCAGGGCTCGGGCCTGATCAGCTGCCCCCAGCCCCAGCCCAGCCTGCTCAGTCCAGTTGGCTGGACCAGGGAGGCCCTGCTCTGCCCTGGCCAGGAGGGGGACCTCAGCTCGACATCCACATTCCACGATGTGCAGGGCAGTGGGGATTGGACAAGCCAACAGTGGCCCCGTGGTCCTTGGGGACCCTCGGCCCGGCATGGGGACTCGGGCTGAAACGCCGCCTTTGTTCCGCCAGCTCCAAGGGCAGCGTGGAGCCTCCCTGGGCTCAGGTTTCCCCCAATTCACTGCCCTGGGAACGGAGGTCTGAGCTGAGGACCAGGCTGGGGACCCTCTGCAGTGCCCACCTGCTGTGTGTGAGGCTGATCCTAAAAGTGGCAGACACACGAGCAGGAGGGAGGGAAGGCACAGGGCGGCTCTGCCTGTCCCGCCAGCCCCGAACGAGGCCTCTGGCTCGCGGGGGCGGCCAGTGGAGGAAGGCGGGGGAGGGGGCGTGAAGCTGCTGCTGCCTCCGTGCGCCCCCGAGGCCACTGGCCAGAAGGGCCCTGGGCAATGCCAGAGAGAAATTACGCAGCTGCTGTCAGCCAGGGGGTGCCAGTGGGTCAAGGTTGCTGCTGGAACGCGGGCCTCTCCCCAAGCCCTGCCCAAGCACTGGGGCCCGCGGACTCCCAGGCTGTACCCCCAGGCGCCCTTCGGAAGACCCTGGGCAGGCCAGAGGGGCTGAGGCTAAGTAGGACACATGGCCCCCTGCCCTCTTTCCCACACGAGCACCCCAGCTACCAGGCTTGTCACCGCCCCCACCCCC